TCAATTTGACTAAGTTTCCTCATAGCGGGGTAGCTGCTAAAGCTATACTTTTTAGCAAATTGATCCGTTTTCTCATTTTACCTCCCCTCGGCATAGCAGCTCTCATGCCGGGCCCCGATGACTACGTTTGCATGTATATTACACCGTGGAGCTAGCACTTTTCTCTGTTTACACTCATATATTTAAAGGTGACATGTGTAGCAATATCTAGCTAATATATTACTGTCAGAAGAAAACAACATTTTCCCCTCCGCTGCCATTTTTTCACGCAGGTCACAGCAACAAAAATCCATGAATTTTAGATTTAATGTTTTCCAGAACTGTGGCTGTAAAGACGATCCCACAACCTGTCATTTTGAGTGCCACCCTATATATTTGTGAACAGATTTGAGTATGTCTTTTGTATTTAATGACATAATACAATGGTATGGTACACTGAGAAACAATGTACATGTCCCTTCATGCTCTACACTAAGGGCTTTGTGGTTCTTTACTGACTCAAACCACTCAATGTTCCTCCTTGCTTATGTGGGTGGGTGGGAGGGAATGATTTTAAATGTCTTTATAAAGCAGTGTGGATTACATATGCATAAAAAGCACGTTATACATGGCCTTTCATGTCCACGATAATGACCCCAAATGTCATGTCTTGTCCCATTCAGGCATTCATGTATCTTTGAATCAACGACTGGACACACAACTTTAGTACTTAATAATAATAATCCCATTACTTGTTGAGATCAAATATTTCTGTGAATGTCTTAACTGAATCCAAAAATGCTGGATGTCTTTTTTTTAACATTCACAGCTTTCTTTCTTTTCAAAGACAATAAGTTAGACTGTATTTACCTTATTGTCATGTCAAGTTATTTTCTTCAGATTTTCTATTACATTATAAATATTCTAATTTTTACATACAACAATTTTAACATTATCTTCTACATGAAACATCACCTGTATCATGTTGGTGAATGTTTAGGTGAATTATTTATAGCCTGCCCTGAATAATCCAGGTGATTTTATAAGCCATTACACACTGCCTCAAGCCCAAAGTTGATAATAAAAGCTGCAACCTCCCATGACCCTGACTTTACAGTTGGAAATCAATACACGGACAAAGAATGAACAAAGAGAAAGGAGAATCAAACATGTCCCTTCTCTCTCATTTGCATTCTACCCAAAATGGACTTCTTGTTTATTGCCAGTTCATCAATACAATGCTAGTAACTGTCACCTTGGCACCGATATCTGGGGATTATATTTGTGTCTACACGTGTGTTCTTGTTTTTATGTGCATGGGAGGGTTAGATACTCTCTGGTGCTACGAGGGACAGCATTATTGATTGCAGGTCTTAGGGCTGCTTTCTCCCAGCTCACACATCAGTTTTAGCGCTGGCACCATTGACATTCAGCTGAAACGCGGAGGGGGGAAGCGCATGTTGATTATCCCGCCTCAAACATGTTGCCTCAGATACGCTCATCTCTATATCCTTGTTTATTTTTTGTTAATTTTTATCTGATGACCCCTGCGTTGGCGTGACATTCATTGACGTAAAGTGGTCATTATGTGTGGGGGAATTTCCAGTTTCATCCACGCTTGATGTAGGTACTTCTTGCTGAACGATGAATATTTAATGTTCTCATTTAGGCCCGTCCTTCTGTGTGCAGGATTACTTTATAGATCAGAGGCTGTGATGGTTGCTGCGGTGACACGGGAAAAGGTTGCAGGGGTGGTGTTTGTCCAAGTCAACACACCGTAGGGATTTGGTTTGGTTGCTCAAGCTTAGCCCCCCCCCATTATTGGAATCCATCCGTCTTCGCATGCCTTTGAAATGATATACGTTGGACAGATACATGCTGTTTTTTGAGATGAGGTGGCACAGCGTAATGGCCCACAAATCGCAGGGATACGGATACTTTGAATGTGTCAGTGTCAGGGATGGTGGATTTAGAAAAAGCTGTTTATTTTTTAAAGAGTTTTTTTTTTTTTTTCTATTTTCTTGAAGGCCTGGAACAATACCAGAAGAGACATGACTTATGATGGCATTTCTGAATAAATGATATGGTTGGTTCCATGCATGTGGTCCTTCAATCCCTGTTTCTGATTGAATGGTGTATTACTATTCAAATAGAATCTTCAGTCACAAACATTATCAAGCCATCAGTGTTTCAATTCAAGCTGAGTTCAAATCAATGTTTGGGTGGAACCATTGACATCTTGAGTTAGATGAATCTGTTTTGTAACATTAAATGAGGCTGTTTCCAGAACAGCTCACTGCTTTCAGTTTAAAGGTCCTGTATTACGGAAAGTTGACTCTTGGGAGCTTTAGGGAGCTCAAAACCATACCTGGAGTTCTGTTTTATTTAATTTATACTTACATCCCCAAAGCTCAAAATGCTCTGTTCCACCTTGTGATGTCATGTAATGGTAGTTTTCAAGTTAACAGCTACCGTTTGGTCAGTATAGATTGGAAAGTCTAGGTCTGAACTTATCCAAATGATTCTAGTGAAAGTGTATGGAGTATAAAAAATATGCAGATCTAAGCCTAAATATGCAGTATTTGTGTGTTAAACATGTGATTGAAACAAAATGCAACTCCAGGTATGTTTTTGATAAGGAAACAACACAATAACAGATCTGAAAATGCCACAAATCACAAATTTTTCAGTCACTGTTTCAAGACATTTTTAAAAAGGCTAGAAAACTTCTCACCCAAACCAAATGGGCTATGTTATTTTAGAACCCATGTTAGTTTTGTTGACTTGGCTTTCTCTTACTTGTCACAAACCATTAAGCTTAATGGTCCTGGCTACATTATTTGTGCAAACGGTTTAACATTCTGCCCTGTATTCACTGAGAACCAAAGCATTTTATCATCCCTACAATTTCTTTTTTACGAACATACCCATTACAGGGTGTTCAAAATAATAAAACACTCCACAAAACAGGTGTGTAACATTTTTCAGATGTGTCTAAAATCTGTTAAATTTAAGAATGTACAATCATATTTTTTTATGATTATGTGTATTACTGTTTGTGCAGTAAACATCATATTATAGCTTGTAAACATTAAATAAGTCAGCCTCATTATAACGATAAGAAGATGGGAGAAACAGGCCATACATTAAGAGCCACACATTTGCCTCATTACCTGGGGGAGCACCACAAACACAAGAGTTGATTAGGACTGCAGACAAAAGGACAGTAGCCGCCTCTTAGAATTCATTGTCATTAGCACTGAAACGCCGAGGCCCTTTTCAAACTCATTAGTTGATAAAACAACCCCCTGATTTCCTATTAAAAAACCCATTCGTCCTCCCTGGCTGCCGATGCTCCCCTGTCTCCGCATCCCTGCTTTTGCGCACTTTTCTGTAATGGTGGCTCTTAAGCAGGTTCAGCCATGATACCTCCTGCTTCGATTGTGTTCATCTGGTTTCACAGCAAACACTTATTGCCATAATAAAAACAAGCTTTTCAAAGGAGTCAGTACTGGTGGCTTCTTTAGCACGTGCTACAGATTGCATTATGGTCCAATTGGATTTACTGCCTTTGGGTTTGAGGGTCGGTCCTAGTGTCTGTGGGATTTGGCTTGATGGGGTCTATTAGTACTCCAATAGAAAAGCATTAGAGTGTGGGGCAGCTATTTTGTGACTGCATTGCATAGCCACTTAAAGCATTTCTATATATAGTTGTATTTGTACAAGTGTGTGGATTTTTGTCAGTTTTACAATGGCCAGTTTTGACAACAAGCATCACTCTTGTTCTGAGTCCTGCTTTGAACCCAGTTTAGTACTGCTGTTGACTGGGTTTGATTCCTTTTAGTCCTGGTTTAGTCCAGGTTCTTGTTTAGTCTCAGTTTTGATGTGGCATGGTGTGTGAATGTACCTATTAACCTATTAAGGGACCCATATTATGCTATTTCTGATCTTTGTTAAAATTGTGTTTCTTCATTGAAAACATACAGTATCTGCAGATGTGTTTTGTGTTTTTCATTCACACGTTAAACACACAAACCCTGCAAATTTAAGTGGTGGTTTAAAACTCCATACACATTCACTAGAATCATTTGGATGATTTCAGTCCTGAAATTGCCCATCTCTATTGAAATAAAAGGTAAAAGTTACTGTAGATGTAAACTTAAAAACTGTCATCACATCACAAGGCAGACACATGTGTGAATGAAATAAAACACAACTTTGGCTATGTTTTTGATGAGATAAGTACATTATAACATGGCTTAAAACTCACAAAAAATGCTAACTTGTGTAATGTAGGACCTTTAACAACTTTGTGCCCAAGGAGTTTGAAATACATACTTGTACCAAAAATATTTCTATGCAGTCTAAATGGCTAAAGCGCTGTCCCATAGCTTCAGAAAACATAGTGCATTGAATTTGCACTGAGTAGCAAACTGACAGCTAGACTTGATATAATGCTTGAGCAGTGTATCCAGTGCATTCAAAGAGACATTTATCTTTTCCTGGCAGAATAACAATTTATTTAAATCCAGACAAAAGGAAATACATATTTGTGCTTTTGCAGTTAGATGAACAGCTTTGTATATGTACATTTTATACACAGTTGTATAGAATCTCTTGCTACAAGACGTGGCTGAAATTATTGATCACCACGTTACATAAATATCAAAGATCCTCTGTTATCCGCCTGTTGAGCCCGTTTAGTTATCTGGTAGAAAAATGTCTTTTTGTATTTTGAGTTCTTCAAAAACATTCATTCGAAGTTATATTATAGTGTTAAAATTCAAGTCATTTCACCAGCCAGGATCTCGGAACTGTTTTATAATTAGCCTGTAATTCACACAAAAACTTCAAACTTTAAAAAGAAACTTGCAAAAGAAATATTTCCCAGTCATCTTGTGAGATCCTGAAGTGGCACCTGAGCACAAGTTTTGAGCAATGGTCAAAGTTGAAGCACACGCCCTCGCTGTTGATGTAGATCTGACTAGGCAGGTTTGGTTTGGTCTGTCTGAACTTATCCCTTACAAGATTGCATGGATATCCTCGTGTCGCAGCACTTTGTAAGTGATCCAGTAGAAGATATTGAACATAAGGAAGCTCAATGGGAACACCGCTCTGGAGATGGTGTCGATACGCTTGGCCCGATCCACAAACCTCTTGTGGAGCATCTCCCCGTCGCACATGGTGACCGGAGGAGGGGGCGGGGGAGGGGAGAACACAGTGGACCCCTCAACCGGAGTGCCCTCTTTAGTCTGCAGGCAGTGACCCAGGCCGTAACCCCGGAAGTAAAAACCACGGCTCTCCCTCACCAGCTCCTCTTCCTGTGGAGTCAAGCAGAGGGGGAGTACGCATTAGCTGTCAGTGAGAATTACTCTTGTCCCTCAGATGATCCAATAATATGTGTGGTGGGGAGGGAGGGGGCACAATAACAGAAAGCATTCACTTATTTAAAGGTGCTATATTACTCTAAACTGACTCTTGTGAGTTTTAAGCCATGTTATAATGCTGTTGCCTCATCAAAAAACACCTGATCAGAAAATAGTGTATTATGGGCCCTTTAACAATCCAAATTCTGTATTTACTTGTACGGTGTGAGTTTTCTGAAGGAGGGTACACCATGCTTGTCCCCATAGATGCTATTGCTTTGCTTTGAGTAAGGCTTTTAATTTATCTCCATGGAGTCAAGTGAGATCAAGTAGTGTACAGGTGAAGAGAAGCAAGGTACTTCTCTTGCAATAAACATCTGCAATTTCATAAATACAAATTGCCATACTGTGGAACCTTCGAGGCAAAGCAATAACATCTCTCTGGAGACAACCAAGTGGTGGACCCCCCACCAGAAAACATACACAATGTGCCTACCATCATTGTGCTAATTAACTAATCTTGTTATACTGCATAATAAATGCTCCGTGTTCTTACTGTAACCTGAATGATAGGTCAAAGTAAAATGCTTTTGTGTCCCTGGGCAAGACACTCACTCTCCTTGCCTCTTCTCTCTACATACGTTGGTGTTTGAAGTTATATGAATGAACATAACTGGTTCCTGGAAGTTTGATGGTGACCAATACAGGACTAAATGTAAGATGAATAAGGTAAAAACATCATAATCCTGCTGGTAAATATATGCAAATAAAACAAGCACTTCTAGTCTAGTTGAATAAGATTTAACATTGTATTCATTTAATATAATATTTGTCCTTTGTGACAGTCCAATTTATAGTTAGTCAGTTATTAGTCAGCAAATAGAAACTTTTAATTTGAAGAGACTTAACAATTGAAATCACACCTTGGCGAGTAATTATATTTCAAATGAATATTCAGGAGTCTGGAAGTCTCTCTCATATTTTATTCCATAGCAGTAAAAGTAAAATGAAATTATAAAACAAGAACATTAACCACTAACTCTCCTTTGTAATACTTTTCAATGCTTCAGGCCCACAGACATTTCCAAACGGCCATTATTAAAAAGTCCAGATCTCAAGTGGACCAAAAAACTCTTGTCTTGGCGGTGTGCTGTGATGAATGGTGGAGCCAGTGTGAGTGAGACATTGTTCCAGTCTCTGAAGAGAATATTAATGACATGTGGCTTAGCTGTGACAGGCCACAGACACCTGGAAACACTGGAGGGGTTCGGTCTATACAGGGCCATTAATGATCTGTTTGGGAAAAGGTCTGAAAACTCTGAGCCCTGGTGTGTTTATCATAGAGACCCTGACGGCCCTTTGACTTTATCTTGAGTTAAATATTTCGTTAGACATTCAGGTAAGTGGTGATTAATGCACTGAAGTATAAGTTTTAAAATTTTATAAACTAGACCCATCTGTGTCCCCAGAAAGGAGGTGAGCATGTTTAAATTAAATATAGCTTTTACTTTGCTCAATGCTTAAATCCAGTTGGTTTAAACCTAAAATGCCTCAAGCACTTAGGTAGTACTAGCACCATTAGATGACCAAATAAATAAGTAAATAATATAAAGCAGAATACATATATTTTTTTCTTGCTGAGGTCTTAATGGGTATAACTTTTTGAACTCTGGTGTCATAGTGACAGAGTGCCCATAGAGCAGGAAAGAAGGGAGTACTAGTTCTTCCAGCCCAGTTTAATTATCTCACTCCTTCCTAAAAGATACAGTCCATCATGTGCTCAAATCTAATGGGGCGTTTCTCTGGAGATAATAGGGGCTCATAGTTTTGGATAAGGGCTCCCTGCAGTAACAATTGTCTCCTCATTTTTGAGAGACCGCACACTATGCATAAGACCTGATTTTGAGAGACTTTTTAAAACAGACATTCTACCAAGAAAGGTCAAAAAGGTCTCTTGCCTTGAATGTTCTCTGATATGGCATTAAATATATAAACAATTACAGGTGATTTTATTGCTCAAAATACCTTAAAAATCTTCAAGTGACTAGGGCCATCACTGCACAGATCTGACCTGTAACTTGACTTTGGAGTGTCACTTGCTTGTCACCAGATTGACAAATTTCATATACTGTGGATTATGTCAGACTCCATTTACATATTTATAGAGACAAGCAGGTTGTATACTCTCCCCAAGAAAAGTTATGCACTTTTAAAACTAAAATATATGAATAGTCATAATGCAACATACTATTCATATGTCCAGCATTTTAACAGTTAACACCAAGAGCACATTTCCTCACATCAGCACTAAAGTGAGTGAGTGTGTAGAGAGACAGAGGGCAGGGGTGGCCTACAGAGGTCAGGCTCAGGGCAGTGACATGAGGCAGACTTGGGGCATACACCTGACAGGGGAAAGTTGAGGAGAAAGTTGTGGGTCTTTCATTTAAAAGACGTGCACATGGTGAGATTGCAGAGGTGGGGTCACAGTTACCCTCACACAGGCGCTGCACTGCTGACTCGCACTCTTGTAGGGGGGCTGGTCACAGTGCATGTCATTCACTTTCTGTAATAACTCCGCACTCCCAGGCTGTATGGCCACCTCCTCCAGCACAGAGAAAAGTACACATTCAGAACAGTCCCTCAAGTTTGGTTAAAACAATGCACAGCAGTTTGGGCTTGGGCATTATTTATATTTAAGTGAAATTATCATCCGTCCCCATTTAAAAAGGAACACTGTGGCCTTGGTTAATTAAAAAGTTATGCTGTGCTCGTTACATAATTCATGTAACAATGCAAGATTGTGTCTACTATTAGGCTGTAATTAATCATTAATGAGCCGAGCATGCAATTTACAATTTTGAGAAACAACTATTTTCAATACATAATTAACACTTTCATTGTTCTAGTGTATTAATGTTGAGTGATTAGAATTAATTTAGTTTGTTCCTGTTCTTGTCGTGGTTTAGTCCTGGTCCAGTCTAGGTTTACTCCTTATTTGGGTGTGTTATGTTCTCAAGTGAGAGCATACCCAAAAATGTCTCAGCTTTGTTATGATTAATCCAAATATTTATACCAAAAAATGATCCAAAAAACTTAATGTTGAACTCATACCAAAAATTATGATATCGACCCTTTGTTTCCTCTAATCAGAGCTGAGTCTATTCTTTTTTTTCCCCCTAACATACATCTGTAAATTACCATGTGCTCATCATTTTCAAACTTGGATATCTGACAAACAATTCTCAAACAAACCAATTAAAATAGTTTGCTGCAACACTATTTTATATTTTGTTCTAATGTGTTTTTGGATCAGAAAATGCTTAAATTATATCATTCTTATAAAAAGAAAATATGCTGCGTATGTTATAGCCTGCAGCCCATAATTAGCAGTGCCAATCTCCAGTGTAATTAGTTCATTGACTGTATTAGGTGCAGTAGCTGTGCAGTTGAGGTGTGAGTGCCAGTAGCGTCTGATAGATGGTCCAAGAGCACTCAGTCTTCAGTCGGGGGTGATTGTGTGGGCCTCGTGGACAGGGAAAGTCCTTGTCTACATCATTTCTCTCCCTGTATCGACTCAGAAGGGCAGACAGACCAGTAAATCTGCCAAACTCCTCTGTCTTTAAAGGGTACAACGCACAGAGCACCAAAGAGGATTTCAAAGTGACTTACGTCTTCTGGTCTTGCTATTAAGGGTATTAGACCGTTAGCTTTGATCAGTATGTCATAAAGTGTTTTTTTCAACAAATTGGATATTGGCTGTGATTTAGATTCACATTTTGTACTTAGGTGGTTGAATTTGAGGGCTTGAAACATTTGCGTTTTTATATTAATTTCATATGTATTTATTTAAATATAACGTCACATTTTCTGTTTAGTTTTTAAAGGTCCTATATTGCACACAATTGATTCTTGTGAGCTTTAAGAGTTACAATGTTGTTACCTCCTCCTAAACATACCTGAAGTTGTGTTTTGTTTTATTCACATGTCTGAATAACCCTTTCCTATTTGTCTGTCTGCATCTCCAAAGCTCAGTGCTCTATTCCAGCTTGGCATGAATTGGTAGTTTTCAAGTGAACAGCTACCTTTTAAGCTTTAGTTCAGTAGAAATTGGCAATCCAGAGCTGAAATCATTTAAATGATTATCATGAAAATGTATGAAGTTTAAAAACACAGTGAAGTGCTTCCTGTATTACCATATGAGTGTTTTCAGTTTGGCAGAATAACTCAGCCTAATAATACAGAGTTCGTGTGTTAAACATGTGAATGAAACAAAACAAAACCCAAGGAAACAACGTTATATCATAGATCAGAAAATAGCGTAATATGGGCTCTTTAAGGTCAGGAGACAATGGTGCCATGGCTGAACACAAAGCAGTTTTCGAGATAGGAGATGAGAAGGGTCCTCACAGGTCAGCCCTCACTACAGAAAAACACCGAACTCAAATGAGCCCATCTCCCTCATGTAATGTGGCAGCCAGCTGTAGCGTGTTGATGCTGTCAGCAGCTGAATATAGAGCCATGCACAATAACAAGAGACATAAGTCAATGTTATGGGGCCTGACAGGGACTCCAGGATTTTAAGAACTCCATAACAATGTGCGTCAGTATATCTTTTGTGTTTGTGTGTGGATGGGTATTTATGACATTGTGGGCGCTAAAGTCTGTATATACATTCACATGACGAAGACCTGCCTTCATTATGGAACAAAAGCAGGTCCCTCTGACGTGAATCCATTATTATTATATAGTTTAGTACAAAAACACAGGAAGTAGTGGTGAGTTTTAAAATACTGTATCTCTTATATACTGTATGTAATCAACACAGTTCTATCAAAAATGCTGAAAAAAAAAAAAAACACCTTAATTTAACAAAATAATGTTGCTATTAATTATTTTTACTCATCTAATCAAAATCATTGTGTAATTTAGTTTTAAGTTTTGGCCATTTATGCCATTATGGTTGCTAGGTTAGGGTTAGGATTAGTTACTGAATTGTTATTGTCATATCTGCTACTTCACTAGAATGTAAAAAATATATATATATTTTTTTATCTTAAATATTATTTCTTTAAGTGAAATTGGTAGTCTAACTTGTCAGTTGCACTTTAAGGTCAGGCAAGTAGTAACTATGATCAGCATTAATCTCTAGGGAATGAATGTAAGTCAATTCAGTGTCCTCAAGAACCATAGAAACCCAACATGTGTGTGCGTGCTTGATCATCACTCACTATTCTTTGCTGGCGCTGCTTTTTCCTGAGCCTGATGAACTCCTTGTGTTGCCTCGAGACGAAGTTGACGGCGGCATACTCCAGCAGGGCGGCGAACACAAACAGGAGGCACACGGCCATCCAGATGTCAATAGCTTTCACATAGGACACCTGGGAACAGACAAGGTCAGAAAGGCATCAATACACGCGATCAATGGGGCTGATGGGTAATCTGCGGGGCAGTTCAAAACACGCACATTTCTCAGTGCTGTGGCTTTACAGACCAGAATGGTAATGAGGCATGTGGAGTTGTTTGAAGTTGTCACATAGAGACGGGTCAAGGCTAAAGGCTGGGGTAGAGAACTATAGTCTAACAGTTTGTGAATGATCTGTCACAGCTCATAAGCAAAATGCACTGAACAGGGACTGAATGGAGGTCACACTCCATTGAACTGCACAGTGGTGGGCTCAGCTGCTTAAGAAGCCATAACATGCAAACATTTACTTGGTCTGTGAGTTTGTGCATGAACCTTACTATTTACTAGCTATTTCATAGACCTTGTGTTTGAGTTCATTAAAAGAAAATAAGAAAAGGGCTTTTCTACTAGAACAAAAGGACTGTAAAGGTACACTGCGTCACTTTTCAGGTGGAAAGTTCGTTACATACTTGTTTCATTGGAGATGTTACTCTTTTGACTGAAATGTTCTGTAATATGGCATTAAACTTTTTGATCTTCAAGCAGACAAACTGGTAACGCCACCAGGTGAAGTTACAGGTCAAATCTGTGGAGAGACGAGCCCACTCACAGTAAGAATCAGTGCGTCTTTTAAAGGGACAGTCCAGAATTTTGGACACAGGAACTCATTTAGCCAGAGTGTTGGAGACGTGTGGAGACACTTTTATAAATATTCCATTCGGTCCTTGTATTTGCAGAGGTCACTGGTGCTAGGCTAGTGCATGTCAATGGCCATAGTTATCCTGCCACTAAAAACAGTCTTACCCACTCCACAAAGCACCTGAGGCAAAACAATTATAACGCCAGACAGTTGATGTGAATGTCTGTGTCAATAGAATAATTTTAGAAGTAAAATCAACCTTGCATTTGAAGGAATTTATGTCTGAGCAGCAGCAAATTGTACTTCCTGATAGAAAGCTTGGCAGCTGCAGACTGATATCACCTAGTAGAGATACGCGGATTGCGGTTACAACCGCGGTATCCGAGGTTAATCCGCGGGTCGGGCGGATGACGTGACGAAAAATTATATTTTAATTAAATTCGGGCGGGTGGCGGTTTAACTACAAAAAAAAAAAAAAAAAAAAAGTTATTGTTACCTACATCTGAAAAGACGAGTCTCACTGTCTATGCTTGTAGTATGAAGTGTACGTCATGTCCTTAATTAGCCCATTTGACCTCGTTTTTATGTTCTGAAGGTTAAGGTTGTGTCAGGTTATTGATGCCTAAGGTTTACGAGGCACATATTATATGCAGTTTATTTTATTATTTCTAATTTATTTCAGCTGTTTGCCAACACATAAGTGGCTATAGGGCCATATTTATTTAGTTATGCATATTTTTTCTTGTCTATTTCAATTGGAATATAAAGAGGGCATTGCCTGATTTCAATAAAGGTTCATCTGGATGAGATGATCTGTCTATGGTTATATTTTAAAACACGCAGACATTATAGCGTAGACTGCCACTCGAGGTATTTAAAACTTAAAGAAAGACCGATGGAGTGAGGCTATGACTTTGAAATAACATCGGGCAATGGCAGAATGTTCAGAATGTAACAACATCCAACACGAAGGCAAGACGGTTCAAAAATAGTCTAGTCGGAAAACGTTGTCAATTAATTAGCTGCGCAAGAACAAGGTAAGTTTGGGGTTGTTGCGGACAATTAAGAATGCGAACATACACGCTGAGCGAATTTTGGAATGAATGAGCTATAGAGTTTGCAGTTTTATCGAGGCTCCTTAGTTTGTTTGCTGTATGATTGTTCTAAAATCTAAAATCAATCGGCGGATGGCGGGCGGGTGCGGTTTTGAAAACCTTCGGTGCAAAATGGATAGAGGGCGGATGATGAGTTTTGTGTCGCGGTTGCGGATGAAAAAATAGCCCATCCGTGCATCTCTATCGCCTAGCACCTATCTCACCAGCAAAGTAAAATTCTGCTGCTGCTGAGAAAATAGTCCCTCAACATGCGACGATTCATGCCATGCAAAGTGAGTTTTATTTCAAACATTATTCTATCAACACAGACAGTTACATCGACAGTCCGGCGTAATAATACATTTGCTTCGGGTGTTTTATGGAGTGGGTAAGTGTTTTTAGTGGCAGGTTAACTATGGCCATTGACATGTGCTAACTTAGCACTAGCGTCCTCTGTAAATACAAGGACTGGATGGAATAATTTAAAAAGTGTCTCCACATGTCTCCAACACTCGGGGTGACTAGGAAATGAGGTCCTATGTCCAAAATTCCAGACTGTCCTTTTAAGGAATTTTTAACACAATAGTTAACTGAATAAATGCAAGAGAGATAAGTTTAATATTTTACTGTGGAATACTGCAGACAAAGCAAAAATGTTTTTATGAAGACAAGTAGGTGGCGGACATAAAAATATCATATAGTGCACCTTATGTAGGGCTATGTAACTGTATTCTTGGCAATTGACCTCTTCATGTGACGCAAAAAATGTAATCACTTAATTGTGCCATTAAATGATTCTTTAGTTGTCATTAGCTATAGTCGCTTGTGCGTGCCTCTTTAATATAATCTAACTGTAGTATTTTATTAACCTTATCTTGAACAACCAGCCTATAATATCTGCGTATTGGCTGTGTCCAGTGCGTCCTTGGTGCACTGTCTTTGTTTACTTCATGTAGTCTCTCACCTTGTCCCAAACAGGGCTCGGCTCCTTGCACAGTCAGCACTCATAACTGAATGTGTCCTTACGTATCGCCCTATAGCCCCGTGCCAGAGGTTTAAGAGGACACCACTGGCCATCCTTTTCCATTCTCACTGATCAAAAATCAATTGTGCTTCTGTCACTTAGTTCATGGAGCATTTGGGTCAGCCTTGGCAGCTAGTCGGGACATTATATAAGAAGGAAAAAGCACTTTCTGAATCATGTATCATTTTTGGGGAGAGTGTCAGTGCGAAATGTCACAGGGGTGTGCAGTGTTCTCATTCAGGCAGAACTCCGGTTATTAGACTTTTTCCCATTTAGTTTCTGACCTTTTTGTCCAGACTTTGGCCATGAAGATTAGTCCCTGTTTGGAAACCATTCTGTGTCTTTTTTCATTTGCCCCAAGTAAGTAATGTCAAATTTGTTTGTATAGTTTAATACAGCTTTAGGGACTGGGGTCATGTAAGGATGAAATGTCAGTAGTGATGCATTACAATGCCAGAGGTGCAAAAAAATGTGCTGTCGTACATGAATGAATGGAAAGGATATAGAAAACATTCCTATATATTTAGCAGTAGTCCCGATTACACAAATTACAATAAATGACACAAATTATAATATAACCCAGATACATTTACAAATTATTTTACACAAGTACATTTTAATACAACTTGACTTAATTTTTTCAGTTTCACTGTTCATTTATATATAGATATTAGGAATGTAATGATATCCAAATCTCACGGTATGATATCATGATATGCATCTCACGGTACGATATTTACTGTGATATTTTGAAGAGGCTAATATAATTGTAGATGGGACTCTTTTTTGCTTTTAAAATACCTGGACAAGATTTTGATGTGAATTATTACTGTCATAATCCCAAGAATTCAAGTAAAAAACTATTTCTTCAAGTTATCTGCACTGAAATGAATCATGGGATATGTAGTTCCCGGTGTTGATAAGCTGTTGCTACTATAAAAAATTAATTTAAGCAAAGGAACTTGTGATTTGATATATTGTGACAGTCCGTGATATTATTGTGAGACTTTTGACGATACAATATCACTATAGTTATTTTTACATCCCTAATATATAGATATTTATTGATTGGCAAATACTGGTTAACAGCGTGAAAGCTAGAAGAAATTTTGGATTCCTGTGTATACTGTGCCAAATAAAATATGAATAAATATAAATAATTTATTGTTATCATATGTTGCACCCTCCAAAAAAAACTTTACCGTAGAGTCATTTCAACTATAATGCAACATAAAATACAGAGCACAAATGACACATAAAATGATTAATCTTGTATCCATGTTTTTCTCTGTTTGGCATGACTAACCTTGGGCAGTGATGCTCTGGAGCCCGAGCTCTGGGTTGTCATGGTGAGGACAGTGGTGATGCCGAGTCCCACTCGGGCAGGCGCAGCGTCCATGTTGATCCAGAAGGAGACCCAGGAGAGGATGACTATGAGCAGGGAGGGGATGTACATCTGGATCAGGTAGTATCCCATCTGACGCTCCAGATGAAACTTCACCTCAATGCAAGTGAATTTACCTAGAGATACATAAGAAAATTAGGACTGATATCACTTCTGTGTGTTTCATGTACACTACCAGTCAAAAGTATGGACTTTTTTGTATGTTGTTTACTTTCTACCTTTAATATACACACAGAACACATCAAATATATGAAGTATAGAATTATGTAGCAAAGGGGGAAAAAAATGTTGTCTTCTGTATGTATATCAAATGTAGAAAGTAGTAAACATACAAAAAAACATCACTGGTAGTTTACATTAGTGAATACATAGTTGTGTTATGTTGTAGTGGCAAAACTTCCTGTCTAGCTATTTTACATACCTATTCTGCTTTATGACTATTGATGTGTTGAATGGGGATCATGCTCCTTTTATTTTGACTTGAAATGCCAAATGATTTTTATCTTGCCAAAGTCTCATACTAGAAATTCATGTAGAAATCAATTACAGTTTATCACAACAAACAACTCATTGTTAGTCATACAACAAATGCAGATCATGTTAAAGGTGCTGTTACATTTGCATTTTAAACAGTTTGCTGTGGTTCCAAGTAGTTCAAAGTAATACTTCATTCCTACAACTGTAATTATTCACAGCAATTAACTTCTAAGCACTTTTCACAACTTTCTCTGGCCTGAGCAGGCGTCATGGTGATGCTAACAAACATTAGTGTGCCAACAGCCCACTTCTGGTTCTCGAATGCTATATAATTAGACACAAAGAGCATACTGTGGCTTTTTGGGGACATAAACTTAATAAAACTCATAAAAAAACATATGCAAAATGGATTAGTCCAGAACTGTAAAGCTAAGTACATACCAGTATTATAGTGCTTAGTGCAGTAGCCTAAGTCCTTCTCCTCTTTGAGCACAAACTGTGGGAGAGTGAGGTCGTCTGCCACCTGAACTGGGTTTTCTGACAGCCACTCGAAGATCAGGTCATTCATGGTGTAGCCAACTGAGGAGGGAGAGGATCAGCAAATGAGATTACAGTGATCAATAGGTTTGGGTTGCATGATTGCATGACAACATCCTAAACTGTACCATATTTTCAAAATCAGATTTCAATGGTAGAATTTGATAGAAGTGTCAAAATTAACATGTTTTGTCCTGGTTTACGATAAATATGTAATGAAACAAAGCAAGATCCAGTCAGCGCAAATTATATAAAAAAAAAAAAACTTAACATGTCAGATTTGAGCATGGAATTCCAAACAAAAAGCTTCTTTTTTTTTTTTTTTTTCTTTTTTTCCTTCTCCCTTAAATCACAAATATAGACCTCTGACATCTTCTATAATGCCAAGAACACAACATGTTCATTTTACATGCCCAGCTCAATTCTACTGCAAATTTGTGGCTAAAACATGGGCCTCTCCACCTCTGCCAGTCACGTGCAGACAGATGTTGTTGCCTTGCATTACAAACATCAACAGCTTGGCTTAATGGAACTGGGAGACAAGGCACAAAACCCTCTCAGAGATGTAGTGTTCTTTTGTCCATCTGTCCAGCCATTTCCAGCCTTGTATTTGTCACAGTAAAGGTCAAGGCATACAGCTACAGTGCCATCACGGCTGTCCGAAGGTTAGTTGAAAGAGGGATAGCAAATCTGTAGAATGTATGAATCTCCAATTGAATGTTTAGCAATGCTGCTTTAGTGTTGCCACTATCAGTGGTGGAATCTAACAAAGTAAAAGTAGTAAAGTGCAGTACTTATGTATACATTTTATATAAATGTACTTTCAGAAGATTTTGAAGAGGATACTTTTTACTTTTGCTTTACTATATTTGAGAGCAGATATCTGTACTTCTACTTCACTGTATTTTTTTATGTAAAAGTGTTTTTTATTATTATTTGATACCTGATGAAAAGGCTGAGAGGTTATTTTTAACATGCTAATAGTTTGAGCAAACAGAAATATACAAATAAAAACAGCTATCCATTCAATTGTTTCTGCTGAGCAAAAGTCAGCACAAATCTTCATCAAAATCTGTACATTTGATACCTTAATACCCCAGATACTTTAAGTACCTTTTCTTTAAGTACATTTTTAAATGGGTGCTTTAATATTTTTACCTACTGTACGTAGATTTTTTCATGTGATACTTTTGCTTTTACTTAACCATTCTTTGCTCTGGTATCTATAGTTTTCACTTAAGTAACAAAATTGGGTACTTCTTCCACCACTGGCCAATAGAGATATGAAAGTATTCAAATTTCTTTAAATAAACATGAAAGTACATAAACTTTGAATATGCATAATTGTTTTTCAAGGTTGTGCTGCTACTCTGAAGTGTTTGATTACAAGTATATTATAAATGCAAGAGTGCACATCTGAATAACATTACACATCTGCTGGGACCATCTTTAGGGCAGGCGTTACAGTGGCATCAATAATTCAACATTCAGCGTCTTTTCCCGTGGCATCAGCCTGAGAAAACAACATCTCTAAAGCACACTCGTCTGGTGGTTCACGAGGAGAATTGGGTGTCATTCATATATACTCTGACAGAACAGGCAAGGGGAATGGCAATATTTTACATGTGAGATGGAGCTGGTAACTTGTTGAAAGGTGGTCAAAACCTGAACAACTAGAAATAATATGTTTTTGTTGTTTTGTTGTTGTTAGGGGTCTCAATAAACCAGAACAGGAAACTTTTTTTTTTCTTGATTTTGAATAATTTATAAAAAATTGTTAATCATTTGCCATTTGCTTTTTTAAATCTAGATGTGAAATCCAAAGTCCCTCTAGAAATTATTAAATATGTCAAATAAAATCAAAACAGGAACAGGAAAAAATGTCTCTATCAAGTTCTTTTTTAATGTAAATTGTATAAAGCACTGAATGGAAAACAAGCTGTACACATCACCTTGCAATCTCTTACTTGATATCTCTTTTTTTTTTTTTATCCTATAGACCTTTCTTTATGTGTAAGTGGATTTGGGGTTCCTGGGCATGAGTGTTCAGGGGCAGTGTGAAGTAGTCTAAGCTGCATATAGGACACTTTGATGTGTGGAAATATGGCTGAATCGTATGCTTCTATTTATACATCTCTGTGAGCCCTTGGCATAAAAGACCAGTAAAGACGATTGGCCTTGGCGTCTTTAAAGCACGCCTTTCTTCCTAAAAGCACTACGATGAAGAATTTTGGGCTTATAGTCCATCTGAAGATCCTAGCTGGGACAAACCGCTTCTGCTTCTGAGGAACAAAGTCAAGGAAGAATAAAGAATAAGGCAGTGTCAATACTTCTATTCACTGTCCAATGGTAAAATTGCGTTTGACTACACCACTTTTATTTTTATGTGTGTAATACCATATCAAATATTGCCATCACTCATTACCAAACACATGGATGGAAGCATGGATGGATAAGTCTTACCTTAATATTGATCTTTTCACAAGACAGACGCAGTACACTGTGCGGTCATTGCAATTCCAAGCTACAGTAACAGCAGTAAAACCAGTGTCCTCCCACAATTTAACTCCAGCCAAGGAGATAGCACCCTTGGGTGGTGCACAAACACCCATCACCACAAGGCCAACTACCTTCACCAGGGCTTTAATCTGAAATGATTATGTCTCCTCTAATGGAAGGTGATGCACCCCTTTAGAACACACACATAATGTTTGTCTTGTCCAAAAGGGTAAAACGTCCTAATATTCCTGTCCTATGCTTGGACACGTGCAGTCCTCACTAAATTTATTGGCCTTTTATGTTTGTGCCTGTGTCAATTTGCAGAAATAAACCATGTTGCCACCTCCACAACGACAGAGTAACTACTTCTATGGCAACAATAGCTCTTGTTCTTATTGAATCAGATAGGGCTGTAGGTAGAGCTAGGTGTGTTTATTTGTAAGGAGTTTGGTGCTGTAAGGGTGCTCCATCAGTCTCCCCTCAGCTAGACTTAAATTATTTTGTCCCTGTGATAGGAAATTAGGTCACCTCTAGGCACAGGGGGTGGGTCACATATAATAAAAGGGACACAGAATTAAAGTTTTATTATTTATATCCGGGAAATTGGTTTCACCAGGGCAGATGATATCTTGCCTAAAGGCAGCACAAGAGCAAAGGGGGCACTCGCTATCTACGCAGCACTAAATGTTCTTTTGCAGAATTATTTGAATACAACAGAAGACAGAATTATAATGACTAATTTTACTTGACAAATTGTGTTTCTCCCAAGTCAGGAATGTTGATGAATCATACTAAATATGGTTTCTGCAAGCTAAGAAACAAAGTCAAACTAGCCATTTTTTAAGTGAATACCACTGCTAATAAACAGTTGATTTTTTTTATGTAATTAAAATATCTACCGCTATGATTTATAGGTTCTGTGCAACCAGTATGTTTGGTTGTTTACATTTAATACATTTAATTGCTTTTCCAAGGATGTACCACAGTATCTGTGTACATATAAACAAGCATACCTTGAATCCAAGGTATTTTTTCGAGATTAATTAATACAGAAAAGTAACATCCATGGAAACAAACAGTTGGTGAATATACAGAAAGGTCACATTGTGCACCTTTAATGCATGTATTTTGAGACAAGTAATCAAATGTTATAATGTGCCCACCATCACTCCACTATGTAAAGGCTGCACAAAAGAGGAACAGTTGGAAAAGCTGAAGGAATATTGGTAGGAAGTGAAAAGGAAGCACACTCACAGCTCTCCAGCTGCATAGTACAGGTCTGAATGTCCATGGGGAAGTTTTTCAGGTCCATAGGACAGGACAGGGTAAGAGTGAGCCTGAGACACCGACACAGACAAAGAAAAAGCACAAGTGGTACAGAGAAAGGTGAGAAGGCACTCCAGGAAAAGACAGACAGAACAGAAAATTTGTTAGAACTTTAGAATGTATTTTTATGTTGTTATTAGAAAGGAAACAAATTATAATGAATAAATAGTTTAATAATTATTCAGGCTCAGTAATAACTTAATAGCTAATAAACTTAACCCCTAACTAACCCTAATACCTTAAAGGCATTGTATCAGATTTTTGCAAATGCAAAAAATGGAACTAGTTTATCTTTAATGATTATTCCTGACTTTCAACTTAATTATTCACAGCAATGAGTGCATTTTGCAGCTTTCAGAAGCCAAATGTGAGTTTTGCCCTCATAGAAATGTGAACAACAAATCACACTCACTAGCACACTTCCTGATTCTCGGATGATCACAATGCTTAATTCTTAATAAACTATTTGTGCATTATGATTTAACTCTGTGTTCATGCTTTATTAAGGCTGTATAGTGTAGTTATTATAAAGCGTTACTGAAAAGGCTATTAGTAGCACAGAGACACTTCATATTACATAAATCACCAGTAATGAGCCCGCACCGGACCACTTGACATAATAAAGTTAAAAAGTGAAAAATTGCTGTGTGGTACATAGAGGTAATTGGTATCAGCAACAGCCCTTTTATTGTTGTGCTTCTGATGCATTAAGCTTTTCCTTAGAGAAGATCTAGCACAGGGCAAACCCATTCAGGAGTGTGTCTGTGGGAAAGTGGTGTAATTATCTTCAGTAATGCACCAACCAGAGGGCAGACAGATCAGCCTCGCATGCACCACTGTGAGCTAACACTATATGTCTGCTTACTGTCACACTGGTTAGAAGAGTTTCCTCTCCAAACAAATAGTTTGGAGAGGTTACAGTAAAACATTGATCTGGAGGGCAAGTCAGAGTGGTCCGTGTACCATTAATTCTTTTGAATTTCAATTAAGAATGAAAAACAGTAAAATGGGAAAAGAGGTTGTTCTTTCATTATTCCGTTTTAGTGTAAAAAAAAAAAAGATTTTGACCTCTTTCTATTTAATTTGGTGTTATTTGAAATAAACGTTAATTAATTCATTATTATAAGGCTGCTGCATCTCTGTAATGGTATTTTAAACTTTCATTGACAATTTGAATCTAAAAAAAAAAAAATCCTCCATACAACCTTTAACCACTGTTAACCACTACATGACTTCACAAGGTGGAATAGAGCATTTTGAGCTTTGGAGATGTAGACAGACTAATAATAAAGGGTTAGGTAAGCATGTGTGAGTGAAACATAACACAACTTCAGGTTTGAATTTGATGAGGTAACAACATACTAACATGGCTTAATGCTCAGAAGGGGCAATTTAGATAATAATAATAGAGGACCTTTTTGTTTTTTTGTTTTTTTTACAAAATCCTCAGAAAGTGGTGCCATTTTTCATCCACAAAGATGTTATTAATGTCAGTTGAGAGGACTTTAAGACATTTGTTTATATGGTAAGGTAATCTGTTCTAAATATCCAAATGATAAGGTTCAACATTTGTGGATCATACATTTGGATATTTCTTTCAAAAATATAAATATCTCCCATTATAAGTTATATAATCATCTGCCCTCTTTAGCAGCCTATTTTAAATACAGTCAGGTGGTGTTTAGTTATTGACAGAACACGCACAGGCTATGTTTCCTTAGAGCTTCGCCTGCAGAGAATTGGTGAAATCAAGCTGAGAAACAGGTTGTTGTCTTTCCCAATTTCATGGTTAGCTAACCCATTTGAAACTTTTCCAATCTGCAGTTAAGTCTCTGAAGCTATTTAACTTTTCAAACAGTTGTCTTCCCAGCGAAAGTTAACTAAATGCTGGGGGAAATGCATTGTCATATCTCAGCAGAGTCAATATTAAATTTACACAACCCGATTTGAAAATGCACTGGAGTTTACCTAATTTAATTCTTTTCCGGTACAGCCTATGGTAGCTCTTCAGGGACAAAAATACATCTCCAAAGCTCAAAATACTTTTCCTAGTTCCTAGCTAGTCGTTTTCAAGTTAAGTTTAGTACTCGAGAAAGGCATTTCCAGGGCTGAAATTATCCAAATGATTCTAGTGAAGGTGTGTGGAATTTAAAAACGCAGTGGAGCACTTCCTGTATTACCACATGACATCACAAGGTGTGTTTTCTGTTTGAGAGAAGCCTAAATATGCAGGGCTTGTGTGTCAAACATGTGTGAATATAACAAAACATAACTCCCTTAGGCCCTTTAAAGCTACATGACTTACTGTTTTTTCTTTCTTATTTCTTTACATTGCATCAGAACATACAATTAGCATGAAGTTATTAAGTAAGTGTATTCTTTTGTTCATAACACCATGGTAATTATTGTTATGTGCTCTTTACTGCTGTTATAATAAGAATATATGTACCTGATGCTGTAAAGGACACTGCCATCTTGGAAGATCCGTAGCAGCTTGTTATCGGTGGTGACCTCATGGAAATTAGCCCCTTTCTCATTAGCGAAGAAAAGATCGGGTTTCCAGATTGAGTCCAGCATAGAGGGGTCCAAATCCAGGGAGTCGTCTGGGTATTCACGGTAGGCCAGCCGAGGGTCGTTCCACTTCTGTCGTAGGAATACATTGAGTCTGTAGTCCTGTGGAAAATAAATATATAAGCTCTAAAATTCAAAAAAAACGTAATGAAAAGTAGTGGTAGTAGTAAGCATCCTTGTGCCATCATATTGTGGAAATTTATAGACTCAACAACCTCACTTCACTCTATGCAAAGGCTTTTTTGGTATATTTTTTGTCCTTATATATTTTCATTATAAAAATATGACAACTGATTAAAAGCTGTGTAGAAATATCAATCTAAAGGCGCTGTTAGTCTGTCTTAAAAATTTGAAAAAGTCGATGAAATGAATTCTTAAGTGCTTTTCACAACTCTCAAGACCATATTAGAGTTTTGCCGTAATATTAACGCTATCAACAACTGGCATGCTAATGTGCCCTTCCTCATTATCAGAGAATAATATGCTTTCTAATTAGATACAGACTGTTGACTTTGTGGATTTTGCTCATCACTCAGCAGATTTTGGCCTCAGAAACGGCTTATACAATACACAAGTATATCTACTAGTGCAAATTTTGATCAAATACAAGGGGGAAAAAATTGATTCTTTATATTTGAACACTAATTTCTTTATCTTTGCCTGATATGTGGACAACCAGACCCCATTTTGTAATGCCAGGACTATTGACATTAATGCAGCATAAGAATCCTGTAGGCTCTGGTCTCTTATTTCTTACAGTATATAAATGAAAGACAAAAGAACAAAAATATGAACTGTATAGGTGAAAAAAATGAAGTGCATTCAATGAATACTATAACCATTATTTCATAACTTTAGGCACTGTTGACTACCAGGTGACACCAGTGACATTATTAACAGTGTGACCTCCATGCTCACAGGTCCAGTGCGCTGTAACAATACATGGCCATTTCTGCTGACCCTGCACATAAACCTGAGTACATGTAAAGTTGGGGGCAGCCCCTGGACCTCCTCATTCATTTTCTCAATTTTTCATTTTAATTGGAGTGCGGACAGTTCATTATCAGTGTGTCAGTGACCCAGTGGGCTCTGAAGGTTGTGCGGTTATGCTTCAAGAAACACAGAAATGGAGGAATGGATTTGCAAAGTAGTGTCTATAAGAAAAGACTGACTTTTGTAGAGTGAGTATTTTAGATTATGGCAACAACTACGATCATAATTTTTTTGTGAAGTGATGTTCTTCTGTTTGTATTTCTAGGACTGTTATCTGTTTCTGCTCAAGAAGTATAGATTATTTTTGTAGTGGTCAAGTTATGTGTCTAATATTTACACCCACCATACAGTTTACCCCCCAGAACTATAGCTTAATCTTTTATGACATGGATCCAACAAGGCACTGACAACATGATAAATAATGTAGGACCATGATCCCAGTTTTAGTTAGCTGTAGACTTGGTTTGGTCTTGCTCTAGTCCTGGTTTTGTCTAGTCCTGTGTATGTGTGTGTGAATGCTGCCTAAGAACATTTTTGTTCTGTTTTAATCTGGTTCAACGCCTTATTACAATATTTATTTAAATCTGGTTATATTTTTGTGAATATAACTATCTTATTCACAAATCACCCACCCACTTTAAATAACTTCAATTCTGATTTAAGTTGCTGTGTCTTTGTTATGTATTTAGACCTATTCTAATTTTCTTTTATGAAATATCTTACTGTGCATTATTATGCTGTGCATATTACCAAAGCATGTGCCTAATTTGTCTTTTTTTTGTTGAGTCATAAACCTATTCAGAGTCAGTATCATGATTGAAAATCAAATGAACAAAGCATACAGGGACACACCACCAAAGTGTTTTTATAAGATCCCATTTATTACATGTTATTCGACAGTTATGCTCTATTGAAAAGCGTACCGCAATTTTCATGCAAATGGATAGAAGTGCAGTCTGTGTAGTGCACTGTCTCACCATTGTAGTTTCCGTGATGGAGCCGAAGCTGTTGATGAATATGTTGCAGGTGACATTCACTGGTGGGCCTAAAACAGCAATAAACAAGTTCAATTTACACATCCACTATAGGTTAGATGATTCACAGCCCCACATTTCTGTCCAAAACTCCCTCTGTATCTCCTGCCTCATATGATTTATACAACTGTCTCTATCATCTGTCATCTCCTTACACTGTAAATAATGCCAAGTTTGCCATGGTGATTCTATGCAGACACGCTCAATTACAGGGTTTATGTGCAAAAGTAACTTACTGATTCAAACTGATATTTTTGTTTACTTTAAAGTAGATTGTTATGGCACAAGATTTGACAACTAATGCATATTGTATGGAGTAAGAAAGCTGTCAAAAATATTTGTGCGCATAAAATAGAAATCCGTGCGTATTTGGGAAATCCGTGCATATTTGGCTGTAGTTGCGCATAAAATAAATATTTGTAAACTCTCAAATGAGTCCAGTCGTACATAAAATATATTGTGTGTATTTTATCCATCAGAATATGAATTGAAAAATTACGACGTCATGAATTACAATCACGAAATGAAAATTTACGATTACGCTTTCATCAGTACGAATACGAATTCACAGACGGAACTTTACTGTCAAAAATACGTCATCACTTCACAGACATTATTCATCGAGCAGAAGAAACATCGATCAAGATCAAGACTGCGCAGCTCAAGTTTGTAGCAGAGGGTAAAAAGAGTAATAGCACAAGAAGCTACAACAGCGACCAACAAGTGGGTTAATTAAAATCTATTGTAAAAATGTCTTGAATTCGAGAACCGAACGCTGCTGTATAATATTGTGTAGAAACACCTCCTTTGAATGGGAAATTGCACCTATATGTTAGATAACATAGTGGTAGCCAGTTGGCTACCTAATGTTCATGTTTACAGGCAACACCTTGGTATGTTTACAGTATTTACCGGTAAGTTTAACGTCACCGTGACGTGGATGGATTTGCTAATTATAACCCATTATAACTCATGTATAACCCATTGTCTGAAATGCAGCTGAGATGAAGACTGACTGATGCTCACTGTGGCTGTAGTCGTGAATGTTTTAATCTAAACCTACAGAGAACCTGATATTTGCTAATTAGCCCTGGGATAACGTTACGTCGGATGTTAGCCAACTGGCTACCACTATGTTATCTAACATATAGGTGCAATTTCCCGTTCAAAGGAGGTGTTTCTACACAATATTATACAGCAGCGTTCGGTTCCCGAATTCAAGACATTTTTACAATAGATTTTAATTAACCCACTTGTTGGTCGCTGTTGTAGCTTCTTGTGCTATTACTCTTTTTACCCTCTGCTACAAACTTGAGCTGCGCAGTCTTGATCTTGATCGATGTTTCTTCTGCTCGATGAATAATGTCTGTGAAGTGATGACGTATTTTTGACAGTAAAGTTCCGTCTGTGAATTCGTATTCGTACTGATGAAAGCGTAATCGTAAATTTTCATTTCGTGATTGTAATTCATGACGTCGTAATTTTTCAATTCATATTCTGATGGATAAAATACACACAGTATATTTTATGTACGACTGGACTCATTTGAGAGTTTACAAATATTTATTTTATGCGCAACTACAACCAAATATGCACGGATTTCTATTTTATGCGCACAAATATTTTTGACAGCTTTCTTACTCCATAATATTGTAATTAATTAATGCCTTAAACGTGCACTACGTAACTTTCTGGTGGACATTTAACAGCTTTACCTTATATGTATTAAGTTACTGGTGGTTTTATAGCTCAAAAATTACCTAGAAAAACAGACATTCTGACTGTGAGTGAAATCGCCGCTCCACAAATCTGAATTGTAACTTAGTCTCGTTTGGTCTCCATGAAGACAGAAAGGTTTAATATGGGGAAACATTACAGTCAAAGCAGGAACATCTCCACGGAGAAAAGCATTTGACGGACCTTCCACCAGAAAAGTTGCAGAATGCACTTTAAATTAGAGAAAGAAAAAAAAAAAGCTCTGTAAAGCATCTTTGCGACATATGTCTGTGAAAAAGCGCTATATAAATAAAGACTTACTGACTTAAATTATTGTTTTTTGCCACCTGCTGCCATATTGGTTCTGGATGCTAGTGTAAACAAATGTAAATTCAAAAAGGGATATGCAATAACTTCTCAAATTATTGTTGTAGAAGTTTTTAACTTGTCCAAGAAAGGGTGTAAGTAAAAGGCTGGAGGCCAACTGGATGTCTTAAGCAGGTTTATTTACCATCATTGATCAGTATCAGTTTTTAGATCATTTTGAGCATTTCAGTTCTTAACTGTCTCTGCCCATCAGAAGACAATGAAGTCATTGAAAAACCCTTTTGACAAATTGCACACATTACTACTATGCAATTTAATCTTCAGATTGATATTTACATAATTTGCAACTAGAATGCAGGTCACGTTCTACAGTTTCAGATAAAAATAATAGCCCTCTTTTGCAAGCTAAGTCTGGTTTAGTGCCAGAGATATTAGAGTTAGCCTATAACTCCCCTCATGCCTTGACCTTCACTTCACAACAAAAATATATATTTTGTGCCCTTCATATAAAATCGTTTCCTTCAGTTGTTCATTAGTTTATATCCTGGGGTAGTATAGTCTTTCTTGGAATATTTCTGTCCAAGATAAATCAAGAATGTTGTTTATTAATGTCATTCCTAAAATGCTAAATGTTTATAAGGCCACAGGCTGGAGTTTGCTTCCAGGCCATGAACTGTCAATTAACTGGCAGCTACACTGTTTACACTCAAATAACTTTTCCATGAAGTATGTATCTTGGACCGAGACACAGCTATACAAGAGTGTTGAGTGTGTTACTAAGTAAATAAAACATCTAAACAAAAACAGGAAGTTATCCTCTGTGGCACTGGTGTAAACAACAGACTGATTAAATATGGATGTTTGGGCCAGTCAATATAAAGCAAAAATATAAAGAAGCTTTGGACAGATGTGTTTTTGTGTAAATATATACAGTTCTTGGAGTGTTAATGAAATCCAAATCCCACAATGCGTTATTATTACCATGTTAACCTCGGGTTAGTCTTTTTAAACTTTATTTAACCTTACTGCTGAGACACAAATTCACTTTTACATGATAGTCCATACTTGGGAAGTCCAGAATGATATCTCTCTATATTTTTATACAGAG